TTCAAGCCCCAGGACTGGCCAAAAAAAAAAAAAAAAATTCAGCCAGGTGCGGGTGGCTCATACCTAAAATCCTAGCTACTCAAGAGGTAGAGATCTGAGGATGGTGGTTCAAAGCTAGCCCTGGCAGAAAGTCCCTATGAGACTCTAATCTCTAATTAATCACCAGAAAACCAGAAGTGGTGCTGTGGCTCAAGTGGTAGAGCACTGGCCTTGAGCTGAATTGCTCAGGGATAGTGCCCAGGCCCAGAGTTCAAGTCCCACGACTGACCAAAAGAAAAAAAAAATCAGTGTTGGCTCACACCTGTCATCCTACTCAGGAGCCTAAGACCTGAGGATCACAGTTCAATGCCGGCCTAGGCAGGAAAGTCCATGAGACTCTTTATCACCAATTAATTATCAGAAAACCAGAAGTGGAGTTGTGGCTCAAAATGGAAGAGATCTAGCATTAAGCACAAGAGCTCAGGGACAGCACCCATGACCTGAGCTCATGCAACATGACTGGCCAAAAAAAAAAAAACAAAACAAAAAAGTAACTATCACTCCTCCCATCCCCACCCTGCCCAAGACCACTAGGGACCTAGGCTATGAAGAAAATACCAGCTTGCAGGAAGAGAAGCAATGTAAGTCAGAAGAGGGAGGCATACTTTTCTGTGGGTAAGAAAGTGATTGAGAGACCACATGTAGTATAGTTTCACAGGGAGCTCTACCTAACAACAGATGTGCAGTCAAAGAAGAGACTCAGAGGGAAGGGAACCAAGGGGAAAGGGCCTGCTCTTACCCCCTGCCGACACCGGAACTGTGCATCCCAGAGGTGTTAGTGCTATCACCATTTGCAATGGGAGAAGCAGACACTGTGGAATAGGAACTTGCTGATGGTTTTGGAGAGGTAGTAAAATGTCTGCTAGACGCAGTACTTGATCTGAGAGAGAGAAGCAGAAATGACACTATTGACCTTTCACAAAGTTGCAGGCCCTGTTTAATAACTTAGGTTCATACTTGCATTCCCAGCACTCGGGAGGCCCAGACAGGAGGAGTCTTGAGTTTGATGCCAGCTGGGACTACATAGCAAGTCCAAAGCTAACCTAGGTCACAGAGCGGGGACAAAGCCTACCCGCCCACCACTGGAGGAAAAAAAAAAAAAAACAGAGGGCAGACTCTCCCTATTCAGTTACCTAAACTGCAAAAATTCTGTTTTCAGCCTGTGATTGTGGTTTAAGCCTGGAATCCTTTATACCTATAGTCCTAGCTACTCTGAAGGCTGAGATCTCAGAATCATGATTCAAAGTCAGACCAGGCAGGAAAGTCCATGAGACTCTTTATCCCCAATTAACTACCAAAAAGCTGGACGCTGAGCTGTGGCTACACCAGTCTTGAGTGAAAAGCTAAGGTACAGCGCATAGGCCCTGAGTGCCAGCTTCAGTACTAACACCAAAAATTAAATAAAAAATTTAAGGGATGGGGGTCACAGTGTTTAAAAATAAATGTACTGCCGGGCTGAGACCTGAGGATCGCAGTTCAAAGCCAGCCCGGGCAGGAGAGACTGTGAGACTCCTATCTCCAATAAACCACCAGAAAACCGAAGTGGCGCTGTAGCTCAAGTGGTAGAGCGCTGGCCTTGAGCTGAAGAGCTGAGGGACAGCGCCCAGGCCCAGAGTTAAACCCCATGACCGACAAAAAAAAAAAAAAAAAATGTACTCATTACCTTACTTATGTAACTGTAGCCCCTGCTCATGTTTTCAATTTTTAAAAAATTTAAATCCTGTTTTTGTACTACTTTTAAGATTTGAAAGTTAAAAAATTATGTCTTTGCTGGGCTCCTAGCTACTTAGGAGGCTGAGATCTGAGGATCCTAGTTCAAAGCCAGCCTGGATAGGACAGGAAAGTCTATGAGACTCTAATCTCCAATAAACCACTCAGAAAAGCAGAAGTGGCAGTTCAAGTGGGAGAGCGCTAGTCTTGAGCTGAAGAGCTGAGGGACAGCACCCAGGCCCAGAGTTTAAGCCCCTCAATCCACCAAAAAAGAAAGGAAGGAAAGAAGGAAGGAAGGAAGGAAGGAAGGAAGGAAGGAAGGAAGGAAATTGTCTGTCTCATTAGTTCCCTTAGCCATAATCTAAATCTTCCAGTTTGGTAAACCACAAAGGTAACCTTCAAGGCATCTTGGTTTGATTCATAAATCATAAACAGTCAAGTATTGTTGGTTCATGCTGTAATCCTACCCATCCAGGAGATCTAGAGACATTGTGGTTTGAGGCCAGCTGGACCAAAAAGCTTGCTAGACTTAATTTGAAAAACAACCAACAAAAAAAGAAGAGCAGGGCCAGGGGCATGGCTCAAATGGTAGAGGGTCAATATAGCACATTACTGAGTTCAAACCCTAATACTGTCAATAAAATAAATATCCTTGAATTTTATTTTTACCAGTCCTGGAGCTTGAAATCAGGGCCTGGGCATTGTCCCTGGGTTTCTTTTGCTCAAGGATAGCACTCAGGAGCTACAGGACTACCTCTGGCTTTTTCTGTTTATGTGGTACAGAGGAATTGAACCCAGGTCTTCATGCATGCTAGGCAAGCAGTCTATCACTAAGCCACATTCCTGGCCCCATCCTTCAATTTTAGAACAAGAAACTATTAGGAAAGAGGAAGAAGATCAGGGGAGAGAACATTAGGGAGGGAAATGATAAGATCAAGGTAACTTATAAGCACTTATGTGATAATGGCACAATAAAACCCAATATTTTGTATGATTAATATATACTAACAAATTTATATATATATATATATATATATATATACACACACATATACATACATATATATACATATTTCCTTAGAATATTGAGAACAGTTGGGTATGTAGGTAGAACTTACTCCAGGGCCTTGAAAAGATTCACTGAGGTTTTGTTTTTGTTTTTTTTATCAGTTCTAGGGCCTGAACTCTGGGCCAGGGCACTTGGGCACTATCCCTCAGCTCTTCAGCTCAAGGCTAGTGCTCTTACCACTTGAGCCACTTCCGGATTTTTCTGCTTCTGTGGTGCTGAGGAATCGAACCCAGGGCCTTAGGCATGCAAGGCAAGCACTCTACCACTGAGCCACCTTCCCAGCCCGAGATCAGTTTTTTAATCCAACCTTTTAATCTTTTTTTTTATCAATTCTTATTAAAGATTTTCATAAAAATCATTAACAAGCCAGGCACCAGTGGCTCATGCCTGTAATTCTAGCTATTCTGGAGGCTGAGATCTGAGGATCTTGGTTCAAAACCAGCCTGGGCAGGAAAAGTCCATGAGACTCTTATTTCCAATAAACCACTCAGAAAACCAGAAGTGGCAGCTCAAGTGGTAGAGCTCTAGTCTTGAGCTGAAGAGCTGATGGACAGCGCCCAGGCCCAGAGTTCAAGCCCCACCACTGACCAAAAAAAAAAAAAAAAAATTACTCAGAAAGCACCAGAAGTAATGCTGTGGCTCAAGTGGTAGAGCCTGAAGCACAAGACTCTCAGGAACAGAGCCCAGGCCCTGAGTTCAAGCCCCAGGACAAGCAAAAAATTAAAAAGCAGCCGGGCACCAGTGGCTCACCCCTGTAATAGCTACTCAGGAAGCTGAGATATGGAGATACAAGTTCAAAGCCACCCCAGGCAGGAAAGTCAAGAGCTTCTTCTCTTCAATCAACCAGCAAAAAGTCAGAGTACCAGCCTTGAGGAAAAAAAAACTCAGGGACAGTGCCTAGGCTCTGAGTGTTCCAGGACTAGAACAACAACAAAAGTCATTAATTTAATCACACCTGAAAAAAAAAATCTCTTTTTAACCTATTTATAGGTTCTTGGGATTAGAATGTGGACATTTTTTTTTTTGTGGTAGCAGCATTACTCTATTTTTATCATCTTGTCAGGAAACAGCAACCAGGATATTTTACAAATGAAGTCCATGGCTGGGCTTCAAAGGGGGGCCATGCCAAATGCTTTGTGCCTTTATGTCATGTTTCTCTAAGAGGACTGAGTTGTCATAGATCTCAGATGCACAATTAGCCCATCACAATGTAACAACCACAGTCCAAAGCATGGCTGAAGGAAGCCAGAAGAGGCCAACGCTGTCTCCTAACTATTGGAGCACAGATATCGTTTCCCTATATTATACCATAAAGAAAATCTAGTCGTAGCCGGGCGCTGGTGGCTCATGCCTGTAATCCTAGCTACACAGGAGGCTGAGATCTGAGGATCGCAGTTCAAAGCCAGCCCGGGCAGGAAAGACCTTGAGACTCCTATCTCCAATAAACCACCAGAAAACCGGAAGTGGTGCTGTAGGCTCGCCTTGAGCTGAAGAGCTGAGGGACAGCGCCCAGGCCCAGAGTTCAAGCCCCACGACTGACAAAAAAAAAAAAAAAAAAAAGAAAATCTAGTCCTTCTTTCTGTTCGCTTCTAAGGACATGCACAATTCCACATAGCACAGAAATATCTCCTAAGGGCTGGGAATGTGGCTTAGTGGAAGAGTGCTTACCTAGCATGCATGAAGCCCTGGGCTCTATTCTTCAGTACCACACAAACAGAAAAAGCCCGTAGGTGCACTGTGGCTATCAAATGGTAGAGTGCTAACTTTTGAGCAAAAGCTCAGCAACAGTGCCAGGAGTTCAAGCCCCAGGACTGGCAAAAAACAAATAAATAAAATGAATTGAATGACTGTTCTATTTTATTAAGAACATTTTGCTTGATACAAGTAACAGCATAATTAGGAAAGAATGTCTCTCTTTCCATCTCTGAGCCCAGCTACACCGGAGAAAACGTTTACGTACTTTGACTGTAAGATCTGTCTGGGCCATGTGCCATCTTCGTTTTGGGGTTCAATGACTAGCACCTGAGTGAAAGAGAAAACCAAATAAGAATGCAACTCACCCCACTTCAGATGGACTTCCAGCCCAAAGGCCTCTGGGTAGCCTTGGGCAGAGCTGCTGTTAGGGCCTGGTCTAAGTCCTCCTACCTGACCCTGGTACAGCCCAGCATCCTGAATAGTGTTGTCTAGTTTGTTCAACTGCTCATAGTTGTTGCTCATGTATTTGTTCCAGAGCCGTGTTTCTCGCTCGGCGGGGATGTTGAACAGTTTCCGCATCTCCTTCTCAATGGTTGCTAGGGACAGGCAGAAATATCACTCAGGGCTTTCTCCAGATACAAAGCTAAAGACAGCTGAGCTGACCCTCCTTTCTTTTCAGGTGTTTTCCATAATCCCAGTTACTCAGGAGGCTGAGATCTAAGGATCGCAGTTTGAAAGCCAGCCAGGCACAAGAAAAGTCTGTGAGACTCTTTATCTCCAATTAACCACGAGTACTCAAGCAGTACCACATACGCAGAAAAAGCTGGAAGTGGTGCTGTGGCGCAAGTGGTAGAGTGCTAGCCTTGAGCAAAAGCAGCTCAGGGACAGTGCCCAAGCTCTGAGTTCATACCCCAGGACTGGAAGAAAAAAAAAACAAAAAAGTAAAGCAACAACATGAGGCCTTGAGTTCAAGTCCCAGTACCATCTGGCACACACAAATAAGGCCTTTTTCTTTAACTCCCAATCCTCCTGCCTCAGCCTCCTGAGGCCATCATATCAGCTATATAGGTCTTTAGCACAATGTTTAAGGAATGAGAAAATGGGACTAACGGTATACTTTAGTGGTAAGAGTACTTGTCTTAGCATATGAAAGACCCTAGGTCTAATTCTTGGCATGGGGGAGGGACAGCGGGGATGGGGGTGGAGCGAGAAAACGTCTCTTTGGGGTAAGAACAGATGTGATTTCAAAATAGGTGTGGTTTCAAAATCTAGCTCTAATTGGGCATGGTGGTGCATGTCTATCATCACAGCACTAGGGAGACTGAGCCCAGCCTAAACTGCATAAACAGTGAGACATTGTCTCCAAAAGATCACCCAAAATGGGCTAGGAATGTGGCTTAATGGGAGAGTGCTTGCCTAGTATGCATGAAGTCCTGGGTTTGATTCCTCAGTACCACATAAACAGCAAAAGCTGGAAGTGACACTGTGGCTCAAGTGGTAGAGTGCCAGCCTTGTGCAAAAAGAAGTTCAGAGACAATGCCCAGGCCCAGAGTTCAAGCCTCAGTACTGGCAACAAAAAAAAAAGATAATAACTTTTTTTTTTCCCTCTCTCTTTTTGGCCAGACCTGTGGCTTGAACTCAGGGCCTGAGCTTTGCTCAAGGCTAGCACTCTACCACTTGAGCCACAATTCTACTTCTGGCTTTTTCTGTGTATGTGGTACTGAGGAATCGAACCCATGGCTGCATGCATGCTAGGCAAAGCATTCTACCACTAAGCGCATTCCCAGTCCTCCAAAATAACTCAACACAGGCTGGGAAGGTGGCTCAGTGGTAAAGCACTTGTCTTGCATGCTTGAGGCCCTGGGTTCGATTCCTCAGTACCCATAAGCAAAAAAAAAGCCGGGCCGGGCGCTGGTGGCTCATGCCTGTAATCCTAGCTATTCAGGAGGCTGAGATATGAGCAAAAAAAAAAAGCCAGAAGTGGAGCTGTGGCTCAAGTGGTAGAGCGCTAGCCTTGAGCTGAAGAGCTGAGGGGCAGCGCCCAGGCTCAGAGTTCAGGCCCATGACCAGACCCAAAATAAAAAAACAAAACAACTCAACACTTTTTTTTTTTTTTTTTTGTCGGTCGTGGGGCTTGAACTCTGGGCCTGGGCGTTGTCCCTCAGCTCTTCAGCTCAAGGCGAGCGCTCTACCACTTGAGCTACAGCGCCACTTCCGGTTTTCTGGTGGTTTATTGGAGATCAGAGTCTCACGGTCTTTCCTGCCCGGGCTGGCTTTGAACCTTGATCCTCAGATCTCAGCCTCCTGAGTAGCTAGGATTACAGGCGTGAGCCACCAGCACCCGGCTAACTCAACACTTTCTTGAGATTTTGCTTTTGGTGCTGTGAACTGAACCAAGAGCCTTAAGCATTTTACTGCCACTGAGCTAAATCTCCAGTCTGTTGCTGAGATTTTTTTTTTTTAATCAACATCAAGGTACTTTTTTTTTTTTTTAATTCTCTGCCTTTACATTTCTTCATCTTTATTACCACCAGACAAATAGGCAAGAACCATGTCTGGTGTTTTCTGTAGAACAAGATTTTCTCAGGCTCAGCTCTACAAGTTCCCAGGTCAGGACTGCAACTACAGCCTGAGATGATCTGGGTTCCAAGTCAAGAGAAAGAATCCCAGCTTCCCTTCCATGAACCACTATGTTCTATCTAATGTCCTACCCTCTCTCTCATCTAACACTCAGGCTCCTAAGCCAAGCTGCTCACCAATGGTATCTGCTTTGCTGAAATGGCAACTCAGCATGTTGGTGGGATCGCTGTTCTCACAGAGCTTCAGTTCCAGCAAATACACCTCCACTTTACAGTGCTTGACAAACAGGCCATGTTCCACAACCTGTGAACAAGAGGAACAGGTGAGACAGATGCTTGTGGCTCATGTCTGTAATCCTAACTACTCAGGAGGCTGAGATTTGAGGATCATGGTTTGAAGATCCCAGCCCAGACAGTCTGTGAGACTCTAATCTCCAATTAACCACCCAAAACTCCATAAGTGTCTAAGTGGTAGAGCCCTAGCCTTGAGCAAAAAAGCTCTGGGAAGCCAGGCACCTGTGGCTCACGCCTGTAAATCCTAGCCACTCAGGAAGCTAAGATCTGAGGTTCATGGTTTGAAGGTCTCAGCCCAGACTGGAAAGTCCGTGAGACTCTTATCTCCAAACAACTACCAGAAAACCGGAAGTGGTGCTGTGGCTCAAGCAATGGATCACTGGCTTTGAGCTGAAGAGCTGAGGGACGGTGCCCAAGCCCAGAGTTCAAGCCCCACGACCGACAAAAAAAAGTACAGATCCCTACTCCGTAAGAGGTACATATTTTCAAGGTGATCAGCCTCTGTTCCAGGGTTTGAAAATCTTGTCAGGTGTGGTGGTACACAGTTATAATTGCAGCACTCAGAAGGCTGAGGCAAGAGTATGATCAGTTCAAGGCCAGCCTGGGATACACAATGCACTGTGTTGCTGGGGCTGGAACCCAACACCTTACATGTGAAAGGTAAGTGATCTGCCACCATCTCCAGACCCAGCCCTGGAAGGGTTTTTCGTTTGTTTGTTTTGGTTGGTCATGGGGGCTGAACTCTGGGCCTGAGAGCTGTCTCTCAGCTCTTCAGCTCAAGGCTAGCGTCCTACCACTTGA